AAAACCCAGTTAGTTGTGGATTTACTTCTCGTCTCTCAGCTACTTGCAGAGGTCCCCTCTCCTCCTCCTTGACCTTGGTGGTGGTGGTGCGGTCAGGGCTCCTCCTGGGCCACCCTCAGCCTGGAGGGCAGGCGTGGGTCAACCAGGAGCCTGCGAATGCTGCACTTTCCCTTCCTTCCCTCTCCAGGCTGGAGAGGAAGACCCAAGCATTCCTCAAGTGCAGGGACTGCCATCTAACGGCTTCTTGAAGAGCCCCAAACCTCCACACAACCTGGTGGCTTGCTTTTTTTTTTTTTCTTTTCTCCATAGCCATGAGTATATGAAAACACACAGAGTATATTTTCACACCCACATACTGAATTGCAAGTCTCTTTCAGGGGCTGCCTATCCATAAACTACGCTTTAAGGGTAATTTAATGTACAGCCTTTACACTCATATGCAAACAATTATTTCTTTTAGCTCAAAAATTTGATAGGACAAGAGGAAACAGTCTCAAGTTGCGCCAGGGGAGGTTCAGGTTGGACATTAGGAAGAATTTCTTCACTGTAAGAGTCGTTAGGCATTGGAACGGGCTCCCCAGGGAGGTGGTGGAGTCACCATCCCTGGAGGTGTTCAAAAAACGTTTAGATGTGGCGCTTCGAGACATGGTTTAGAGGGCATGGTGGCGTTGGGTATACGGTTGGACTTGATGATCTCTCAGGTCTCTTCCAACCACGATTCTACAAAACGGCTGTAGTAATAACCCAGATGCGAGCAAGAACGTGGGTATTTCAGTTTGGATGCTGGCGAGCTGCTGTTTCACTGCTGTCGGTGCTGTCTCAGGCAGCAACACTCGTGTGCTCACAGGGCAAGGTGGTCAGATGTAACCTCAGGAGCTCACCCATCCCAACCTTTTAGTGGCCTTTCAATGTGGCAAAACGCGACAGCTGATGCACCGACACCATGTCCAAGGATGACCAGATCCAGCAGTGATGATGCAAACAGCTGGAGTGGCAGTTTCTTAACCCCAGTCAGAGCAGTCTGCATCATCCCATCATCACCACAAATTGCTCCAACCGCTTTAGAAGAGATGTCCATCTCACTTTTTCTCAGAAGCTCACCCTTTGCTCTTACCCTTCAGTACAGTGTGATTTGCTTTAAGGATGTACAGGGGTGCTGCGCGTATGGAAAATACAACAGAATTGCAGGGCTCCAGAAGAGCACGCGAGGAAGAAGAAAATCCTTACAAGTCATTGACTCCGGAGCACATCCTGCTGTTCCAGCAAGAGAAGCTTGAAGAGCTACTTCCATTTCAGGAATTATTCCCAAGCTGTCCAGTTACGACTAAGCCCTCTCTACCCCTTGATTTTTGTCCAATATTATTACTTCGTATCCTTTATTACAAATGCTGGTCCAGTGGCGGGTAGCACAGCCTGTTCCAAACAAACAACATTTAGTTGTTCTCTTGAAAAATGTTCCCAGAAAGGAGGCTCGGGGAACCAATTCCTACCCAGTTTGAGCAGCAGCACCGGCCCAGCCTGAGAAGCGCACGTCCACCTGGAGATCAACAGCCTGCCCATCACCTTAGGCCCAGGCCTTCGGGTTGAACTTGCTCTAAGAATACACTTTGCATGCGACCCAGATACCCCAAGTGAAAACAAACAGTGGTTGCACTACTGGAGATGGTAAAGTATAGAGGAATCCACATCATCACTTTTAAAACACGTTATAAAGCAGACTATTTCTATTTTCCTTCAAGACATGGTTTAGTGGGCATGGTGGTATCAGGTATACGGTTGGACTTGATGATCTTTGAGGTCTCTTCCAACCATGATTCTATGATTACCTTCTCGCAAGGTATTAATTCGTTTTTATTAGTCTGGAGAAAAATTCTACTTCCCGCTCCTTCATCAGAACTCATCCAGTATTAGGAAAACTTCGTAGATAACATTTCCATAAAGTAAAAAAATACTTGACAATATATGACCTTCAAGACTTCTTGCCTGATAACCAGTTTGAAGGCAACCTAAGAGGAGCCTCTTGTTACAATAAAGAAATAGCCAAGTAACCCCCACTGAGGTAGTTTTAATTCTCTAGAAACGTTACCTGGATCATTCCGAACAATTCCAGAAGATCACCACAGAACGAGATTGCTTTTGCCTTGAGTTTGCAGAACCAGTTGTTGACAAATAGCACGCACACCTTTGCCCTCCCTCATACCTCATTTCTCTCCGAAATCAAGTATGTGAACTTGTTTCTCAGATTTCCAGTCAGGGAACTTATTCTGTAGTTCAGCAAGGCGTGTTTGTCCAAGATTCGTTACTCATTTGTGCTGTTATAGACAGCATCTGAACTCAGGGCAAAGGCAACTGATGTAGAAGATGAAATTTCTCAACTTTGACCCAAATTTACCAGTGTATTTTAAAAACATACTGGTAGTCCTTGTTATAATTGTGGCAGGGATGCTGTACTCAAGAACAAAATCTTACAGAAACAGCATTCGCAGTAACATACCCAAAAAATCAAGACCGTGACCTGTTAATAGTAGCCTGCGGTAGGTAGCAACTGCAATGTTGATCCACCCAGCTCTTTGTCACCTTTCTCTCTGTAAAAAAAAAAAGAGATCTTGGCATCATACTACTTCATTGTAAAAACACATGGGTAGAGGTGATGTTTTTCCACAGCTGATCCAAAACTGCTCAATTGTTTTGAAAACAGATCCATTTTAGGACATTTGTATATTTGAGATAGGACTTGCCTACAGCTTAAGTCCTCCCCTGCCCCAACACTCTCTACTGTTCACTGAATTTTACAGGTCAATTCCCATGTTTGTTTTCTATTTGTTGTTCAAATGAACACCACTGATGTAAAAGAAGACATTAGAAAAAAAAAATCCATTTAACAATACCCCCAATCCTTCCTCCTCCTTTACTCTTAGCAGTTACAGTGGGAAAGACAAACCAAGGAACTGATGAGAACAACAGTAAGAGAAATCTCTCCGAAAAAATGCTTCACGATGTGAGAGACCATTCATGGTGTGAATCTAGTCCTCATCTTAAAAACATACAATAGCACAAATATTTCTGAGTAGTATTGTCCTTGTAAATGTCAAGTTTCACTGGGAACGCTGACAGATGTTACAGTTTTAAGACGGAAATACAGAAGAGAAACATGTCAAACCAAGGTTTAGAATCAGTGTTTGTAAGATTTTCCACAGAAATGCAACAAAAGTGCAACTGTATTAAAAATATGATGGAGAAGGCAGAGGCTGATGCAGTCAACACCTGTTTTCATCAGGGAAATTTCAAGAAGGAAAAGTGTTAATGCAGACAGGAGCTCTTAAACCAAACTGTTATTAGATATGCAGGTGAGCCCACTGGGGAGTAACGCAAGATGGCCACAACTGTCATGTGAAACCCAGGCTTAATGAAAATTTAAAATTCACTACCAATTCATTCAGAATATACAAGAACAATTCAGTTCACGTTAAACATCTGTAGTGTCAGTATTTAAAAACAACACACCAATGTTTAAAAAGAGTTGAGGTGTCATTTCCCAAATTCTATTGCACGTCAGTTTATTTCCCTATTTCAAAAGGGAGCAGCAAGTCACAAAGGCAAACATATGTGCACCCGAGGCTAATATAGCCATTTAACACTGTAGCAACTATATAGGAAACAGTGTGATTGTATTCTCTTTTCTTAAAGAAAAATCTTCATTATCATTTTTACAAGTAAGGAATCAAGCTGTTAACTGTTTAATCAGTTAAATACTTTCAGTGCAGCAAGACAACTGTTAATATTTCATAAAGTTTACATAGAAAACACACCTGCTCAGCATTTAAAACTTTTCACAGCACAACAGTTTTAGGACTGGCTTGTTGGGTACTAACCACCGAGCTGACTGGCTTCCAGCAGCACCAAAATAAAGACTGTCACCTCATGTCAATTTAATGCCATTTTTACCCGTAAAACACTGGAGGCTTACTGGAAAAAAAATCAAGAAGGCTTTTATGACATGGCCAGGAATAGTCTTTAGCAGTATTGCTACCCATATTCCTCACAACTTTTAGTTACTAGTGTCAGGATATGGCAGTCAGTTACTCAGGCACATAATACCTACATCCTAAAAAAAACAGTGAACTTCTAAGGCAGAGTTTGTGCAAACCATCAGAAAAAGTGAGTGGCGAATCTAGCTGGGATCCTGGAACAAAAAGACACACCTAAGACTGACATTCATTAGTTCATTTGACCATTCCAACCTGTAGCAGTGTACCTAACTTTTAAATCCTTTTTGAAAACAAGCTCCTCAAATTTATTTATTTAAAAAATTGAGTGTCCGGCCTTCTCCTCATCTACCAAGTATCTTGTGCTTGATTCATCGCCCTTCTGGATTTTCTCTTTTCCTGCTACAATCCACCTATTAAACCTAAATGGATGCTTTGCTATGTTTTTGATGCCTATGCCTCTCTCATCTTTGGCAAAAGCCCCTATTTGAAATTCTCACTCTCGCCTATCTTTTCAAAAAGGTTAGAGGTGAGAAGGACCGCCTGAGAATGTAATTGTGGCTTATGCAAAATATTTACTGTTCTAAAAATACATGTGACAATTACATTCCAGTGAACAGAAGAATTCTTATCTATTCTAGGTGGTTAACTTTAAGAACGGCCAAAAAACTTTAAAAACCCAACACAAAGAGGTCTTAAGAACAAAGACAAATTAACAGCATTAAAAATGTTTTAATTTTAAAAACTGCTTTGAAAATATGTAGTTCAAGAAGTATCCATCTTCTCTTGCATCACCCAGATTCCACAGCAAGACCGTAGGCACAAACATCCACCTACTAAAACTTGAGTATTCAGTTCTTTGGCACACAAGTAGCAGCTGGCTTCCTAGTCAGCAATCATGGACAACTCCACAAAACTTGGCGTTCAACAAAGTGACAGCAGTTTAAATTCCAAGTTCAGAACAGGCACATAAGGAAGTAACGACAGCTAAGCAAACCCTAAGCAACATAGTTTTCAAGCAAAACCAGTTTTCAGTCCTGGTTTATCTTTGAGACAGCTTTCTGGAAGGTTTTATGAAAGACAAGAATCAAGGTGTTCATTTATTTCAGACTCCAAAACCTCAGTCTGGCAAGCAGGACAAGTGACTTTTTCATCCTGTCTTGCAGCAGTGCTGGAACTTGCAGAGGACACTGTAGGTTCAGCTTTGGTTTTCGTAGGTGTATTTAAAGTGACATCAGTACTCCCTTTTTTAATGAAATAGTTTCCAAAAGCAGTTTGGTCTTCCATTTTTGGCCATTGCTGCAGCGTATTAGTCAACTGTGACCTTTTTTTCTCAGATGCAACCTGAGCTGCTCTTACCTGCTCAAAATAACTTTGTTTCGGTGGCCTGTCATAAAACGGCATAACCATCCTGCCATATGCAGAACTTTGGTTTGATTGTTCTTCCATAACACGAGCAGTTTTAGCAGGTGGTCCACCAACATTCTCATAAACTTTCGTATTAGCAACTGAGAGTTTAGGAAACTCATGCTTTGAAGCTAAGTTGATTCTCTCACTGGTATCATTAGGATAAAGTGGAAAGAAGACGCCACTACGGGGTGATTTTTCAAATATTATCTCATTTTTAGGGACTGGTGTTGTCCCTACTGCTGAACGATGCTGTGAACCAGGTGTTTCTCTAACACTGCTGCTGGAATTTGTGCGTTCTTCTGAGCATCCACTGTCTCCTCCTCCAAGCCGATATCCCTTTCCACTAAAAGGCATCATATCTTGCATACCATACACTTGTGTCTTCCCTACAAAATAAGAGAAGAAAATAAGAAAAGTGATTAGCTTTTTCATATATAAATCATGGGCTTAGTATTTTATGTGCTTCACCCAAAAAATCTGCTGCTTGAAAACAGTGCAGCAAACTAAACCTTTCGCAAACAATTAAGTTGCGAAGGAGCCTAGAAATGCACAAATGAAATCGGTCCCCTTCTTTGCTGTGTAACAGTAGTATCTAAACAAAGCTCACGTAGCAGTTGATTTGTATTTGTTCAAGGAACTGTTTGGACAAAAATAGTTTGAAAAAGAATAAAATATTTATTTTAAATACCTTTGTTAGCTGAGTCAGAATTTGGAAGTTTTGCTGGCTGAGTTTTCTCCTTGGATTTCTTCGAGTACTCCTCTGGCTCCTTCACTTTTGTGAATGTACCTCCACACGTCTCCTGATGACTAGCCCACCAAATGTCTCGTGCAGAGGGTGCTCTATTCATCGAGCGTTTCACATATCCAAAGTAAGGGCTTCTATTTCGACAGGGGCCATTGCATCGCCACCAGTGCTGGCGGTACAAATCTACCTCATCATGAAAATCATGACTGATCTAGGTTTAAAAAAAAAAATCATTCAAAAAGTTTCTCATTTCGTATCACTAGCCCTATAATTTTTTTTAAAAAATATATTACTGTTCCATTTCTTGCATTACCGCTGTGATTTTTACATTACCAGTTAAAAGAACTGAACCTGGGTAACATTTGATCAACATTTAGCTACCATTAAAACAAAGCTTTAGAAAAAGACAGGATGTGCAGGAATATGTCCTGGCTATCTTGTTTGAACTGCAATAAAATCACTTTGAAAATCTACCTACAATTTCACCCTAAATGACATACTGTTTAGAATGCATCATAAACAATACCAGTATTGTAGTCTCCCTCCAGCTATTATCTTTATTGTTCTTATCAGACACATTCTTTTTAAATATCATCAACCCATTGGCCTCTACTGATATAAATCTGAACTAAAACAGACTGCTCTTCCCCAAATATTATTCTGAACACGGAGCTATTCTGTCCCTGCTATCTTTACGTTGTTTCAAGTTTAAAACAAAAGTTTAAAGAAAAATACTTGTAGAGGGTATACTTGACAATGATATGACTAACAACTCAACACATCTTCCTCAACCTGTTCCCACCATCATCCCCAACAAAACAACTATGGAACTGGCATACACTTGGGTGCAAACTTGTATTGGTACCAAACGTGGAGTGCCTACCAAGAACAAGTACATTACTCATACCACACCAGGCATGCTAAAACACCAAATCCAGAAGAAACCTCTTAGATTAGGTGGATTATGCTTACTGTGATATTGGCTCCAGTCAAGCGATTAAGGCGACGCATGTGTTTGCGGAACTCTGGTCCATGAGATTGACGATCGTTGTAGTTACCGGTAACAAAAAGCAGGGCATGGATCATCTCATGCAGCAGTGTCTGAAACGATGCAAATCATTAGCTATTTACTGAAAAGCATGGCATATAGTTTCAAAATTAAGCTGGAAGTATCTGACTCCTCTACATTTATCTCGGTACTGATCTTATTTTCGTGCATTCACATGTCATACTTATTCTACTTGTCAAATCAAATTACCTCTCTTCCAATACAACCAAAATACGCTGGAGAATATTAATACAGTAAGTGACATTCCAAAAAGCAGAAATAATCCGCAAACTTAAGTCAGATCTTTAAAGAGATCATCCCCTCTACAACCCCAAAGAGAGAGACACTTGCGAGAAAGCTGAAACTCTACAGCCTTTCTGTTCATTAAGCAAATCCAAACGTTGGGCCAACTCAAAGCAGCAGCCCTGACAGAGACACAAGAAGCAATACAAAATTACGTTGACAGTCATATCCTATATCCTATATCCTTATTTTGGGCTCTTGGCCTTTTGACCTAAAAGATGAAACTACAGCCATCTTCTGATTGTACTTTCAGTCCATGTTTGTTTTTAATATTAGAGGATATTTAGGAGTAAAAAAGTTGGGGTTTTTTTCTTTATAAAGTCAGTAAAATAAACACGTCACTTTAGGCTCCTACTCAGATTTGCCCAGTTAGAAACATAAAATGGAAAGATCACCATGACATTGCAACACAAGCACCAGAAATGTGACAATAAAGCCACCACTATTTTATGATCTATAAGTCACTATATCTAAGAATCCCACTATGAAATGTAAAACGTTTGTGCCTCCCCCTCCCCTCCATACAATCCATTTTATGTGCAGATTCACGAGCAATCTTCAAATACCTCAACGAGATCCTTCCTCGGTCTTAGCTTTAGTAGTGGCTCGCTTAGACGAATGGAACATAGTCCACTACGTTTTTCATATGTACACAGTCCAGCAGAGCTGAAAGAGACACAGAAAATATGAAAAGCTACTTGTTTCTGTAGCACATGAAGAAAACTGAGAATTGGAGTTAAAATGCCATCCCCTTCCAACACATGCTAGGTAACTCAGAACATAAAAAACACTTTTAGTAGTCACTTAAAAACTCAACATCACTAAGGAAAAAAAAAAACCAAAACTTTAAAAGCCCACAAGTTCCTTAGAATAAGCTGCAACTGAACTAGCAAAAGTGAAACTTTTATTTCTTAGATCTCTTGCAATCACTTAATTCAAAGCTAGCAATCCTGGAGGGGAAATAAAAAAAAATGGACTGTTCCAAGCTAACCTGTTTAGGAGGCAGAGGGCTGTTTTCATTAGAACTCCTGATGGAGTGAAATACATCAAACAGAGGCTGGAGATTCACAGCAGCCAACACCAACTTAACTGCTGCAGTTTCATCCCTCCCTCAGCCTTTGACTCTTACTGAACCTCCAAATATCATCACTCCTGCGTGCTAATCCAGCAGAAAACACTTCATTTGGTTTTTTGTTTGTTTGTTTGTTTTGGGTGTTTTTTTTTTTTGTTACTGAGTTAGTCCTCTACGAGTTCAGCATCCAAATATTTCCAAGTGTCTAAGAAATACTGCAACCAGCAGAGGACAAGAACGGGCAGGACTCCAGCAGCCAGCAACTGCATCAGCTGATCTGCTGCACAACTGCAGCCTGCACTTTAAAGCTTTTTTTCTTTTTTAACCTCAGATTTCCTGTATATTCCCTTTCCTAAGTCTTGTTAATGTACTACTATTGCTTTATATTTGCCTTTTGGCCATGCTGTAAAACTACCACAAAAATTGAGAACAAGAAAAATGACAAAAATACAAGTATGTTCTTTTAAGTTTTGACATGCAGAGTTTAAGACCAAGTTCTTTATTCCACTTCAACATCTCTCCAGTTTTGCCTGCACCACGGCAAAAGCCATTTATGGCTGCCAAGGACCACTAATAAAGCAGAAAACAGCCAATGACAGTGACCAACCCACCGTCCTGGGGTACAAACGCTGTTAGAAAAGCAGGGCATCCCAATATCTGGAAGAGAAGCTGTAACCCTAGCACCTGGTGCCTAAGAAGCCGCAGTTAGGAGCGGCACACAGGGACACATGACAGCTTTTCCTCTCCTTCCCCGACACCCACAGCTATATGCTGAGCTGA